TACAATAATTAAACTTGTAGATACAACTTACTTGTCGTCCCTCGCTTTGCAATTGTTATAATCGATATGAAGACCGCATGGCCGAGTTTTATTGGTTTTAGAGTACAGTTGGCGCACATATCATAATACAAAAATCAGATGGTTTTGAATCTATTAATTAAGCTGTTTTTATTAACGGATTTGGTGGATTTAATTAGATAACCGCAAGGTAGTTTTACAGTGGTTTAAGAGTTGGCGTACGTTTCGTAATACAAAAATCATTTAATATTTGTTTATATCTTAATATTCGAGCATTTCTATTAGCGGATTAGGCGAAATTTTGTGGATTTTCTGTTTGTAACCTTCTGGAGTAACTAATTTTTTTTTTTTAGGTTTCAGATTACAATTTTTTTTTTCATACCCTTCCGTACTTTTTAGGACTCTTGACCAGTTAGTTTTAATAAAAATTTCAGATTGCATGTAAAACCTTTTTTTTATATATATGAAAGAAATTTATCTCTTTAATGTGTGTTGAACTCGCAGTTTTAACTAATTACCTAAAACATAAGTACCTCTATCATGATATATGCGCAACAAATTTCCAACAGCGTTTTTATGTTTTTAAAAATTTTTAAAAACGTTTTTAAAAACTCTCTCCGTTTGCTTTCTTATAGTATATTATATCTTTATTTTTATGTAATGCGTATAACATCTATATGCATTTAAACTTGTTTTTCTTTGTTTTCTAGAAAACTGGAAAAGATTTTTTAAAAAAAATGTGTAAGCAAAAGGTTTTGAACCGAAGCGAAGCACTTCAATCGCTTTGGAACGCTATATCATCTTTTTACACTATTTAATAAACAGAAAACTTATTAAACTTTAAAAAACAACATTTAATGCTTTAAAATAAAGAGATATTGTCGCAATGAAATTATTAAGTAAAAATAAATCGGTAGAATTTGATGTCATCTACTTTATAATTATACTGATTGATAATTAAAGAACTTAAAGTTTACATATTTAGATATTTGAATAGACTTTCGTTCACATTGATAAAATACAAATCATAACGGATTGTGGATCCGAAAAAAAAGATTGATAAACTACCATCTATAATTATTGGAAAGGTCATATTTTTTAATATCAAAGATATCAAAGTTTGGCGAAAAAGTGAAAACAATGTCTACCTGAATTACATGTTATCTTCCTATTTATTAGGTTTACCAATAAAACTTCCCTGATTAGTTTATAATTTATTCAAAGCCCTGATTAGCTTTTAATTTATTTGCCTATTAATCACCCTTAACAACAATAACCGCCATAAATATATTCTTAGCATTCTACTTAACGACTTATCTAATTAGTCTATTTTGTCACTAAGTATAAAAAAATTTACTGAATATCAATTTATTTATCTATTTAATTTAATATATATAATATATAATTTAATATATATAATTTACTCTAATTAATATAATTGAAGTACTACTAATCAATTTACTGATATTTTTTCTATAGCATTGTTTAAAATGGTCATATTCTGAAAGGTAAAGAAATTTATTGAAAAGAAAGTTGCACAAAAGAAAAAAAAAACTAAATAAAAGTTATTCGTTTCAAAAAACGTTTTACGAAGAGTTTTTCCAAACAATTTTATTTTTAATTGGTTTTTTTTTGAATTACGTCATAAGCATTTTGAAGGCGTTTTGAAAAACAGTTGCTGCATATATTTATAGCAAAAAAGTTAATGTAGCAAAATAAACTTTTAATTGTCAAAAGAAAGTTTTAAAGTTTTATCTAGCTACAGGTTTTTTTTTTTTTTTGCCTCCACAGCAGCATCTTATGAAGTAGCAGGGCTGTCTTGTTAAGTTTTTTCTTTATTAAGTTTCAGACAACTTTTTTTTCAGACCATCCGCAGCTTATTAGGACTAATTACATTCGCACATTAATAACATAAGTGTCTCAATTATCATAGATACGCAACATATTTTTTCTCCTAGTGATGTTTTTTTTTTTTTTTTAATGTTTTATGAAGTTTTAGCATTCTTAAAATCTTTTCTTTTGTGAGTGCATAACATCGTTACGTTACATATGTTTGTATATAATCTTTATAAAACTTCGAAAGTATTTTGTATTTTAAAATAATTAAAAAAATTAAAAAAAACAGCCGCCTTTGGTAGGAGTCGAACCTCTAGTTCCTTGTTCAGAAGTTCGCCGCCCTATCCACTCAAGCTACGCCGGCATATAATCAAGTGTAGATTTTATAATAATGTTGTAATTTTTTTGAGGAAAAAAATGTTAGATCAAAATTAAGGAGAGGTTGACGCAATGTAGTTTTCAAGTAAAAATCAAACTATAAAACGTGATAAATGTTTCAGTATGTTTTAACATATGCTTTAACATTACTTAGTTTAAAGTTTACGTACGTTAGATATTCGTTCACGTATTCTTATAGTGCTGCGACTCTTTCTTGCCAATACCTCGGTTGCAATGGCTGCCAAGGGTTTCGTGTCAAATACGCTCCAAGGGACACTACTACTATTAAGTTTGGCAATATTATATAGATTTTCATTTCACATTTTTAAAAAAATGTTGAAGCACCTAACTACATGCATAACTTTGATAGCTCACAAGTTAAGTGCGCAGTCATCAGAGTCGCTGTGCAAGGCTTCAAATCCGCGCCTAAAAAATCTCAATACATTTTTTTTAATTTTTTTAATCTGGCTATATTTATAGCAAAAAATTAAATATAACAAAAAACCTTTTAATTGCTTTTTTTTTCCCTGCCTCCACTGCAATACCATGTGGAGTAGCACGACGGTTTTATCAAATTTTTTCCTTATTAGGTTTTAGGACCAATTTTTTTTAAGACTATCCGTAGCTTATTAGGACCAATTATGCGAGAACAGTATCAAAATCGTGACACACACGCAAAAAATTTTCGCCACGTTTATTGGTGTTTTAAGAAATCCAAAAAATTTATAAAATTAAAAATAAAAAACGGTTAAAGTGTATAACATTTAACTTGTTTAACTTCACAAATATTTTATAATTTAAAGGAAAAAATCGCTGGCGGTAAATTTGAACCACGACTATTACGTTCAGAGGCTTAGCGCGCTAACCACTCGGCCATGCTGACACATCAAATATCGAAATTTTAAAAAAAATATAAAAATTGTTTTTAACGGAATTGCTGTAGATCAAAAAATTAGGAGAGGTTGACGCAATGCAATTTTTAAGTCAAAGTCAAAGTATAAAACTTGAAAAATGTTTCAGTATGTTTTATCATTACTTAATTACGTAGGTTAGATATTTGCATACACGTTTTCTTCTAAAAAAAAGTGTTGCGACTCTTTCTACTAACACTACTATTAAGTTTGGCATTATTATATAGAAGATAGATAGATTATAAAATAGTTTTTCACTTAAAAGGACAAACTCTATTCCACATTAACCTTATCTTTATTTCTCACTCTAATATTTTTTAGTGAACAATAGATTATGTGCTAGAAAAAAGAAAAAAATTTACATATGCACCTTTTTCGTATATTTATATTTAGAGCTTAACATGAAGAAGGTAAATCATTTAGTTCAAGACAACCTGCCCAAACCCAAATCCTCTGTTGATTTATGCACACTCACTGTCGCTAGGCGTGTAAAATAAGTAGCTAGGCAAGTCAAATAAATTAACTTGATCTGTTTTTCTGCATAAAACAAAAACAGAAAATGTGAAGTACTTGATATAAGGCACTTTAATATTGGATTTAGTTAATTCAATACAAAGTGATAGGAAACTGCAAAATAAGGTAGCAACGTGAAAATTATTCAAATACTAATTTACAACAATTTGTATTGCGTTTTATTAAAATAGCTTTATTAAATAGTATGAAGATTGATGATTCTTCTTCTTCGCCTTTAGAAAATGATTAACGATTTGAAAGACTTTTAAATTGATTATAAAAGCATTATCTAAAAATGAAATAAAATCATTATTAATAACACTGAACGCACATTTATTTGTTTTATGTTAATTCATTTGAAAAATAAAAAATACGAAACGAAATTTAGTAATATTAAATAAATATTAGACACTTACTTTGTGAGGGTGCTTTTGTAAAAGTCTCTAATATTTGGTTGGAAAGCTGGAGATACTCTTTTTTTTTTTTAAATTTAGTTTTATCAGCATTGCTGAAGATAAAAATTCTTACTGACACAAAAAAATATATAAAGTAACATATTTTAAAAATTTATGTAAATGATAACAAATATGAAAAAAGTAATGTTTAAGTTTCAATACACATAAAACCCATAAAACTGCATAAGTATGCAAAACACATTACCTGATAGTACTGCAGATGATATTGATGCTATTGTGAAAGTAAAAAAAAAAAAAAAAGGAATAAAGTAACATATGTTATACATTTATGAAATTGTTTACAAACATGAAAAAAGTAATGTTTAAGTTAAATACACATAAAACCCATAAAACTGCATAAGTATGCAAAACACATTACCTGATGGTACTGCAGATGATATTGATGCTATTGTTAAAGTAAAAAAAAAAAAGTGTATAAAGTAACATATGTTATACATTTATGTAATTGTTTACAAACATGAAAAAAGTAATGTTTAAGTTCCAATACACATAACACTCATAAAACTGCATAAGTATGCAAAACACATTACCTGATGGTACTGCATATGATGACAGTAATGATTAAGTGCTATTGTAAAGGTAAAAAAAAAAGTGTATAAAGTAACATATGTTAAACATTTATGTAATTGCATGAAAACAGTAATGATTAAGTTTAAATACACATAAAACCCATAAAACTGCATAAGTATGCTAAACAGATTACCTGATATTATTGCTTGAGGTGCTAATGTAGAGACAAAAAAATAAATAAATAAAGTAATCTGTAAATTAAGATATGCTATCTTTAAGTTTTAACACACATAACACTCTTGAAACTGCATAAGAATGCAAAACACATTACCTGATGGTACTGCAGATAACGCTATAGTGGAGGTAAAAAATATATTTACATAAACTAACATATACTAATCAATTAAACAGTTTATTTTAGAGTGATAAAACCGCACACAAACATCAAAAAATGTGTGTTAAAATTAAACAAAAAGAAACATAAGTGTACTTTCCTTACCAATTGAATTTTCTTAATTTTCTAAATAGAATAAAAAAAACTCATTAACATTAGGAAAAAAACTAACATGCAGAATATTTGTCAACTTTAGGAAATCTATAAATAAAGTTGGAACAAAACAAAAGGCAAAAATAACAATCACAAAACAAAACAAACCAAAAAAGAAAAAAGCGACAAAAAAAATAAAAAATAAAAGTAAAGAAACAATTCACAAGAACAATATAGTAACTTACTAAGTTGTTGAAATATAAGCCCTATAAAAAAAAAGCTAAAAATTGTATCAAAAAAGCTAAAAAACCATAGAATACACCTTTTTTTTTGAAAGTAAAATGCTTTATCTATAATACACAAATGTAATATAATCAAATTCTGTTTACCCATTGAATGTTCTAATTTTTCTAAATAAAATGAAAAACTTAAAAACATTAAAATAAACTAACTTGCCAAATATAGAATAACTTTATGTTAAATAAATATGTAATAAAAAAAATAAAGAGCATTACAACAACAATAACAAATTGCTTACTTAGATTCTCAACAGAATCTTCTAATTTTTCTAAATAAAATACATTTAAAAGTTACAAAAGTCACTTGCTGACTGACAAACTGTCACAACTGACAAAAGTCAGTTGCTAAATAGCTTTAAAAAAACTAAAAAAGCATAAATGTATTTGCACACAAAAAAAACAAAAAACAACAACAAAATTCCTCACTTAGCTTGTCCATTACTTCCGCTAAACATTAAAAAAAAGTTATAATTAACAAATTGCTGAAATTGGTGAAATATATATCTTTGTAACATATCCTTCTCATACAAAATTAGCTTACTTGGCAAGAGCTCTTCGGCTCTGATCTCTTGAACATCTAATATATATATAGACAAAATTAATTTTCAAAATATTTACTTTTTCAATTAAACATATAAGATTTGTCTTAAATTATAAAACTGTTGCACAGTTTTATAATTTAACACATTCAGTAAATGACAAAAAGTTTCATTTTACGTGAAAGTTTAGTAGTTAGAAGACTTAAAAGTCAATTTTAGCTTAGACACGTTTTATGAAATTATAGCTTAAACACCTTAAATAACTGAGTTTTGGGTCCAGCCTTTTAAAGTTCTAAAAATTAATTTATATATTTTTTAATTTTAGTTAAATTTTAGGGGGGTGTACTTGATTCACGGGGTTAGGGGAGGGCGGCATATCTTGGTTGATTTTAATTAAAAACGGCTAAATTAAATCATCGTTTTATTCACACCGTAAATCAAGTACAGCTCCGCCACTTTTAGAACATATGTAACTGCTACTATATATATTATATATATATGGCTTACTTTGAAAAAATGCAGAAACTTCTTTGTCGCCTAAAGATATACAAAATTTTCTTAATGTATTTTCTTAATAAAAAAATAAGCTAAATATCTCAGTATTATTGACGTATCATCTCTTTTTATATCTTTAATTAATGTTATACAAAATTAAAAGAATACCTTCTGTATCTTGGCTGCTCATTTCTAGAAAATAATCTTACTGTTTATTCTTGGGTCAAAAACATATTAACTTCAAACATATTAACATGGTAATTATAAAATAAGTTTAATTTTTTAAATGAAGATTACAATAATTAAACTTGTAGATACAACTTACTTGTCGTCCCTCGCTTTGCAATTGTTATAATCGATATGAAGACCACATGGCCAAGTTTTAATGGTTTTAGAGTACAGTTGGCGCACAAATCATAATACCAAAATCAGATGGTTCTGAATCTATTAATTAAGCTGTTTTTATTAACGGATTTGGTGGATTTATTTAGATAACCGCAAGGTAGTTTTACAGTAGTTTAAGAGTTGGCGTACGTTTCGTAATACAAAAATCATTTAATATTTGTTTATATCTTAATATTCGAGCATTTCTATTAGCGGATTAGGCGAAATTTTGTGGGTTTTCTGTTTGTCACCTTCTGGAATAACTAATTTTTTTTTTTAGGTTTCAGATTACAATTTTTTTTTTTCATACCCTTCCGTACTTTTTAGGACTCTTGACCAGTTAGTTTTAATAAAAATTTCAGATTGCATGTAAAACCTTTTTTTTTATATATATAAGAAAGAAATTTATCTCTTTAATGTGTGTTGAACTCACAGTTTTAACTAATTACCTAAAACATAAGTATCTCTATCATGATATATGTGCAACAAATTTCCAACAGCGTTTTTGTTTTTAAAAATTTTTAAAAACGTTTTGAAAAATTCTCTCCGTTTGCTTTCTTATAGTATATTATATCTTTATTTTTATGTAATGCGTATAACATTTATATGCATTTAAACTTGTTTTTCTTTGTTTTCTAGAAAACTGGATAGGATTTAAAAAAAAAAATTGTGTAAGCAAAAGGTTTTGAACCGAAGCGAAGCACTTCAATCGCTGTGGAATGCTATATCATCTTTTTACACTATTTAATAAACAGAAAACTTATTAAACTTTAAAAAACAACATTTAATGCTTTAAAATAAAGAGATATTGTCGCAATGAAATTATTAAGTAAAAATAAATCGGTAGAATTTGATGTCATCTACTTTATAATTATACTGATTGATAATTAAAGAACTTAAAGTTTACATATTTAGATATTTGAATAGACTTTCGTTCACATTGATAAAATACAAATCATAACGGATTGTGGATCCGAAAAAAAAGATTGATAAACTACCATCTATAATTATTGGAAAGGTCATATTTTTTAATATCAAAGATATCAAAGTTTGGCGAAAAAGTGAAAACAATGTCTACCTGAATTACATGTTATCTTCCTATTTATTAGGTTTACCAATAAAACTTCCCTGATTAGTTTATAATTTATTCAAAGCCCTGATTAGCTTTTAATTTATTTGCCTATTAATCACCCTTAACAACAATAACCGCCATAAATATATTCTTAGCATTCTACTTAACGACTTATCTAATTAGTCTATTTTGTCACTAAGTATAAAAAAATTTACTGAATATCAATTTATTTATCTATTTAATTTAATATATATAATATATAATTTAATATATATAATTTAATCTAATTAATATAATTGAAATACTACTAATCAATTTACTGATATTTTTTCTATAGCATTGTTTAAAATGGTCATATTCTGAAAGGTAAAGAAATTTATTGAAAAGAAAGTTGCACAAAAGAAAAAAAAAACTAAATAAAAGTTATTCGTTTCAAAAAACGTTTTACGAAGAGTTTTTCCAAACAATTTTATTTTTAATTGGTTTTTTTTTGAATTACGTCATAAGCATTTTGAAGGCGTTTTGAAAAACAGTTGCTGCATATATTTATAGCAAAAAAGTTAATGTAGCAAAATAAACTTTTAATTGTCAAAAGAAAGTTTTAAAGTTTTATCTAGCTACAGGTTTTTTTTTTTTTTGCCTCCACAGCAGCATCTTATGAAGTAGCAGGGCTGTCTTGTTAAGTTTTTTCTTTATTAAGTTTCAGACAACTTTTTTTTCAGACCATCCGCAGCTTATTAGGACTAATTACATTCGCACATTAATAACATAAGTGTCTCAATTATCATAGATACGCAACATATTTTTTCTCCTGGTGATGTTTTTTTTTTTTTAATGTTTTACGAAGTTTTAGCATTCTTAAAATCTTTTTTTTTGTGAGTGCATAATATCGTTACGTTACATATGTTTGTATATAATCTTTATAAAACTTCGAAAGTATTTTGTAATTTAAAATAATTAAAAAAATTAAAAAAAATAGCCGCATTTGGTAGGAGTCGAACCTCTAGTTACTTGTTCAAAAGTTCGCCGCCTTATCCACTCGAGCTACACCAGCATATCATAAAGTGTAGATTTTATAATAATGTAGTAATTTCTTTGAGGAAAAAAATGTTAGATCAAAATTAAGGAGAGGTTGACGCATTGTAATTTTCAAGTAAAAATCAAACTGTAAAACGTGATAAATGTTTCAGTATGTTTTAACATATGCTTTAACATTAGTTTAAAGTTTACGTACGTTAGATGTTCGTTCACGTTTTTTTATAGCGCTGCGACTCTTTCTTGCCAATACCTCGGTTGCAATGGCTGCCAAGGGTTTCGTGTCAAATACGCTCCAAGGGACACTACTACTACTACTATTAAAACTATTAAGTTCGGCAATATTATATAGAAGATATATATATATATATATATATATATATATATATATATATATATATATATATATATATATATATATATATATATATATATATATATATATATATATATATATATATATATATATATATATATATATATATATATAAACAATTTTGAAAATGTATTCTACAAAATAGAGTGCTCAATGTTCTTAAAAGAACAGAGCAATTATAAATTAGTAAAAAATCACATAAATTTTTTTTTTCATTTTACACTGTTTCATCCACAAAGACTCACCAGTCTTTTCATGCTACTTACTTACAAAGACTCATCTGAAATGTATTTCAGATGAGTCTTTGTAAGTAAGTAGCATGAAAATTTTAAATTAATTAAACATTAGATTGTTATATATCATTTTAAAGATTCAATACAGTATTCTAAAAGTGAAAAAATTATCAAAATCTAGCAATTTTATGAAAAGTTATAACGTTTTAAGTACCGAATTTTCGATATATAGATTTGTTGTAGAAACTGTGCTCAAAATAATATTTTTCTTGACTGAAAAAATCATAAATTTGTCAATTCTTATCTAAATGCCTATACTTTGGTATCAAAAGATTGGTATTAGAATAGGCTACAAATTCATATTGATCGCTAGCCTAAAGGCGTATCGGGGCAGGGAGGGGGAACTAGAGGGGGCACTAAACTAACAGCTTATCCGGTAATAAATGCAAACTTTTATAAATAAAAGAGTAATTTTTTGTAGAAGTTTTTAATTTTCATATGCAAAAAGTAGTTATAATTTGCTTCAGACCATTCCAAATTAAGAGAAGTTTATTATTGTGTTATGGTGGGTGTAAGGGTGTCAGTTTAACACACCCTATAACTAAAAAAAATTTCAATAAATATTTTTATCTTTATTAAAAAAAAGTAAGCCTAATAATAAATACAAAATTTTTTTTTTAAATAATTTTTAAATAATTTTTTTAAATAATTTTTAAATAATTTTTAAATAATAAATTTTAAATAAAAAATAGTTAAAAATTTTTTTAAATAATGAGCAGCCGTGGCGCAGTGGTTAGAGTTCTGGCTCAGAATCCAGAGGTCCGAGGTTCGATGCCAGCTCCAGCCCAACAAGCGACATTGGTACGGAAGGAGGCGTGAACTTCCTGTTAAATGCTCACCCGCGGTGCTCTATGATAAGACCGTAAGGACTTCTGGGAGCACCTAAATACATACAAAAAAAAAAAAAAATTACAAAAATTTCTCGTCACATTTAGAATCAAGGGAAGGGGTGTTTGCCACAACGCCCTCCAACCTAAAATAAGAATTAAATTTTTGTAATGCGATTTAAAAAAATTTAAATGCTATTGTATAAGATAATAAAAATTATTATAAAAACATATTA